AATGGGCCTAAGGACTGTGCCATGCGGGACGCCACTCGTCAAGGGATACCACTCGGTTAAGTGGTTGTCCACATGTACTCTTCACGTCCGACCAATAACGAAATCACTGATCCACTGGTGCTGTGAGCCACCAACACCACATATCTTCAGTTTCCGTAGGAGGACCACATGGTTCACTTGTCAAACGCTTTACTGTGGTCGATGTAAATGACATCAACCGAGTTCCAGAGGTTTAGCGCTTGTAACCATTCTTGCCGCGAGAGCAGCAGGTTTGTGATGCAGAACCGACCTTTCATGAAACCGTGCTGTGCAGGCGTCAAGATGCTTTTCGATTCATGTTGCAGAAGACCAGGCTTCACGATCTTCTCGAGTGTCTTAGCCAAAACAGAGGTTAGGCATATAGGCCAGTAGTTGTCCACCTTGTTCGGATCGCAGCCTTTCGGAATCGGTTTCAACATTGAGCATTTCCAGTCACTCAGCAATGAACCGGCGGACAGCAACCTGTTAAACAGCTCAGTCACCGAAGACAAGATGATGGTCAATAGCGATTTGAGGATTATCGGATGGAGCGCATCAGACCCCGCAGACTTAGTGTCGTCAAGACTGGCGAGCAATTTGCGCACATCCTCAACGCTGCAATCCAGGCTGTCCAGCTCGGTAGGAGCACTTTGCGTCAAACTCGGTACGGATGCCTGGTTATCTAAAAAAACGGAAGCAAAGTGCGCCGCCAATGCGGAAGCACCCTTAGTACTGGAAACTAGGGGCTGTCCGTCCGAGCCCTCCAACACAGACACATCACTTTTCCGCTTCAGGCGTCGCTTCACGTATGCGAAGATCCTCACGTGAGCTGTTTTTGCTGCGGTTGCAAGTTGCTCTTCGATGCATCGATGTTTGCTCTTTCCGGGCTGTTGATGTCGAATTGCGTCGTGAACGGGATTACAACACGGGCGATCTCTCGTCGTATGTGTAATGCAAGATTCCTAGGCTAATACTTGAGCAAAAAGGCATTTATGACAAAATAATGCAAACTACCAATGACGCGGTTCGAGCAACCTTCTTCTTAGATGCGCCCGGAGGATCTGTTAAAATGTTCCTTCTCAGATTGTTTCTTGGGGTAATTAGATCGCAAAATAACACAGCCTTAGCTCTCGCGTCCTTCAGAATAGCTGCAACATTGTCATCCGGTGGAAGAACGGCTCATTCAGCTTTGAAATTGCGATTGAACATACAATTCATTGAAACTCGCACATGCAACATTTCTAATTCGTCCAGCATGGGAAAAGCATTGCAGAAGTGCAAACTTATTGTTTGTGATGAATGCACAATGGCGCATAAAAAATCGCTGGGCCTACTTGATCGATCATTGCAAAATTTGCGACAAAACAGCAGACCATTTGGGAACGTGTTATTATTGCTTGCAGGAGATTTCCGTCAAACGTCACCTGTAATCCCTCGATCTACACCAGCGGACGAAATAAAAGCTTGCCTGAAATACTTTCTTTGTGATGTCACGTTAAGGCGTTAAAATTAACCGTAAATATGCGAGTCCAGCTTCAACACGATCACCCAACTGAGGTATTCTCAATTCAATTACTGGATATTGGGAACGGAAAGTTGCCTGTTTATCTGACCTCAGGAAGAATTTCATTGCCTCATAGCTTCTGCAATTTGTTGATGTAAAAAGAAGAACTGGTTGAAAGTGTATTTCCTAATTCCTGGGTTCAACTGTTCGCCGAGCTTCGCAATTGGTATGCAAATGTTTCATCACCACACGAGGTGAATTCCTCAGTGCGCTGCTGCGTCAAACGTAATCCACTGACTCGGTCGGTGGTTGATTAGCAAGTGACTTTTGAATTGACCTCCTCGATCTGTACCCCGTGACCATCTGCCTGTCCAACTTCTTTGATAGACACGGGTGACCCGTCAGATGGTTTTGCCATGGCTGTGTTGTTGACGGCTCGTTTAGCTGCTCTCGACGGTTTTTAAGTTGTTTTAATTCTCTCCGTCTTACCGTTTCGCACACTGGGTCAATCCCGAGGTGCATGTTTAGCGAATGCTTCATCGAGTACCATGCTTCGAGAAAGTCTCTTCCTTTTCGTCTCGCCTTGTGCTAGGACCTCTGCGTTGTTCTAATCGAAGGGATGTCTTCTTCGTCTGTATGTATTGAAACCAGTGAGTACAGTGTGTTTTTACAAGCTCTCTTATGCTCTTGTACTCCTCCTGTTTGACCCACATAGTTCTTATTGCAACCTTGACACCGTAGCTTGTAAACAACAGTTCGTCTTTCATGTGCTTCAGGTCTAGCTTTGGGTTTCGACAGGGTTCTCCTCAATGTGGCGATTGGTTAGCGAGTCACTGTAAGACCGTGCTGTTTGAATAATCTTACCATCATTTCGAAGATGTTCTTAACATAAGGTAGAACGACTCTCCGTTGTCGTTTGAACAGTCTAAGAGGTGAGCTTTGTTGTTTAGACATCGCAGGACGAAGCTATGTGGATATCCATTTGGGTGAAATGATCTGAACAGGTATATCTCTTCTTTCCGCTTCGCCTCAAGAGTGCTGCTGCAACGCACTGAGGAAGTTACCTTGTGTGGTGATGAAACGTTTGCATACCAATTGCGAAGCTCGGCGAACAGCTGAATCCAAGAACGACCAACCCGGGCTACCAGTGCACAAGTCATTTTAAGTATTTCCTAATATGCAAACCAGTTATCTGAATCACGATTGGCTGAGTGAACGAGCTATTCTTGCAACCAAGAACAAGGACGTCGACGAACTGAACATTATTATTCAGTCTAACATTCTAAGCGAGGCAGTCGTTCGACACAGTGTTGGAAGCAGATGAAGCGGTTCGTTATCCAACAGAATTTTTGAATTCACTCGAGCTGCCAGGGATGCCACCGTACGTACTTGAATTGAAAATCGGCACACCAATTAGCATGTTGTGAAATATCAACCAGCCAAAGCTTTGTAACGGCGCGCGGCTTGAAGTAAAAGGATTGCTCAGCAACATAGTACAGGCAACGTTCTTGACCGGACCTTGCAAAGTGAAGATGTCCTCACATTCCTCGCAGTCCGATGATTCCTACTGATACGCCATTTCAGTTTAAGAGACTGCGATTCCCTATTCGGTTGGGGTTTACAATCACAATCAACAAAGCTCGGAAGCAGTTTTTTAAAATGTGTCGGGTTAGATCTATGCATCGAATGCCTCTCACATGGACAATTACATGTTGCGTGTTCTAGAGTCGGTAAATCTGACACTCTTGGGATCTACCGCCACTTCAGGACTCTCAAAACATCCAACAGCATGGCATTCAGCGGTAGAGCACAAAACGCTGCGATGCAGACAGCGCTAATTTATGTGCTGTGCATGCAAAACAGCACCAAGTATTTCTATATACGTTCGTACGCACACCAACAGCACAGAGTATGAGCAATCCCCCTTTTTGCAAGACGTAACTGAGGGAATATCGGCCGGATCAATGCGTCAGTGCTCGGGCAGTAAGAAAGTTGGTTCCAAAAGAAATTTTGAGTACCAGTTGCCGGTATCCATCTTTTATCGTCCGGTGATGACCGAATGATTGAATCACAGATGGATCGGGCATCAGTGACGATCATAAGAGTATTCTTGTTTGAACATAGATACAAACGAAGCACCCCTCACATCTGGTAGGATCATGGAATGAGAGAAGTCGATAACAGTTAAATGAATTGGCACAATACCTTTGGCTCCGCCTCGCACTATCCGTTGACAGTCAACTGCAGACGCGGTTAGGCCAAGCGCTTCGCAAGTCCACCGACTATCTACGTCGACGCGTAACGCTTGCCGAGGAAATGGGTGGAGATCACAGGGACCAAGCGGGGCAGCACAAACGCATAGGAAATTGAATGGAAGATGATCGAAATGGTGAGCGAAGAAGACAACATCGTTTCTTGCCCAAATTACCCTATACTGGAAGCAACTTCGGCTGTATAGCAATAAAATGTGTTTGATGGAAGGGCCAACGTGCTTGAATGATAGAGGAAGTTGATAGTTGTAGTACTGGCCTAGATTCCTGTATGGACCTAGCTGAGCAAGAAATGTATGGAATGGGGGCTTCGAGATAGATTACATTAGTTAACAAGCTCACTGCCGACAGCGCAGTGGGGAAGATTGTTGAGCTTGTGCATTTGACCGCTCCCGCAAAAACTACTTTGGGCACAGTACCTTCATACTCCAAGCAGGGTGAGAGCATACGCTAACATTTGCATTCTTCCTTGTCACCAGTGGCGTGAGACAAGGATGTATTAAGTCTCCGGTTCTGCTCAACTCTGAGATCGAAGACGTACTGCCGGGAATTTTAGCAGGGCTGGGGAGTTTTAGCATCGAGTTCCCACCAGGTGTAACGTGAAACCAACTTAGGTTACGCTGATGATATCGCCTTGCTCGGTGACTACCCTCATCTCATGCAAGTGATTTGACCGACTGGTGGTTGAAGCATCTACGTATGGTTTGTGTTTTGCCCCCTCTAAGTGTACAGTGCTGTCACATGATTGGCAGTCGCCCCTTCCTCAGGTCACCACTGATGGTATACAGCTGGAAAAGGTGGACAGTTTTGCCTACATCAAAAACTGCATTTCTGCAGACGACACTATTGGAGAGGAGGAGTATCTCTTCGTACCACAAATCCCGGTCAGCATTTGCAAACTTGTGGCATTTATGGTGTCGTCACGACATTTCACTCTCGTTAAAGAGTAGAGTCCGCAATGAGTGTTCTCGCGATACTGTTGCATAGATACGAATACTGATCGATTTGTGTAAATGACATGCGCCGACTTTCGGCCTTTTACGGTGGCTGTTTGAGGAGGATCGTCTGTGCATAGTGGCGACATGAAGTATGCTGTGATGATGTGAGACACCGCGTCTTAGGCAAGACAGGTCTCCCTCTTTGTGAACTTGTTCTGCTACACCACCCCTCCGAGCGTTTGACACACCGTGCTTTGTTTGCACTCACAGGGCCGCATTTGTGAAGGTCGTGTGGTGGCCAATCGACGACTTGGCGACAAAGCATGAAGATATTGACAAGTTACCTAGCCATTATCGGTGCAGCAGATCTATCGGCTGGGGACCAAAAAATGAAGAATACCAGGGGCTCACAAAGCTCGAGGCAATGACGAGAGACGGGATGCAGTGGAAGCAATGTCTGTAAGTGTGTGAAGTCCCGATTTCAAAAACATTCTCTTAAAAAGAGAAAGGTGTAAAATTGCATGCGATAAAAAACGAAACTACCAATATCCTTTTTTTACTCATAACTATTGGTTCTTTTACCAAATTTTGTACATTTACCCTTTTGCATTGATTCCCAACCCTATGGTTTTGAATGGCTCGATGTCAATATCTAAAGACTGATATATATATATATATATATATATATATATATATATATATATATATATATATATATATATATATATATATATGGTGCGCTGACGCTTTTAGTGGCTAGATCGTGAAAGAGCGCTGGCCCGTTGCTCTAAATGTTTTGCCCTGGACTCATGTCCTTGATGAATCCTAGTGGCGACCACTTGATGAGATTCGGGTCACACCCATTTTTCGATAGGAGCCAGGACACAATGGACATGAGTCTGTTCACTGACTCATGACGTACGACCTCCTGCCTTTCGAATGTACATTTTATCGAGGACCCAAGTCGATCATCTGTTCAGGTGTGGGTGACCTGGCGATATCCTAGCTCTACCCCAAACATGAACCACAATAATAATAATAATAATAATCCCATGCTGCATCGGTCGTCTCGTAGTGGTGGGGGAGCGAAAAGGGTCGCCTAATCTGCTGCATACAGCGGGGTGGATAAGCGAAAACACGTTACCGCTGACGCCTCCCTCATTGTCCTTCCCCTGCACATACCCCATCCCCGTTTCACTCAATCCACTACTCCCTCCAATCCAAGTCACCACCCGTATAATTGCCCGCCATCGCAGTCCTATTCCTCCGCGCAAAGTGCGCCCACTAATCGACCGGAACAATAGTGAGCGATCCGAGTGACGCACGGCACTGGTCGCTACGGAACACGCGCGATACGAGATTAACACTGCTGCACACAGCGAGACTCGGCTTGCTGACAAAGGCAAGTTCTATGCGGCTGATGCGGGTTGCACGTACTACTGGGTGGGAAACACCATCTCAGCATTACGTGAACATGGGGTCAGATTTGCACTACCCGACCACCTAAATGGCCAGTTGGTGGCAAAGTGGACTAGTATCAGCCCCCGCTTGATGACACGCCGATCGCGACTTGTGGAAGAGGTAAGTGCGCCACTCGTCAGTTATAGTACAATTGCCGAGAACATCAGCCGTTATACTCGCTGTTTGTAGACTTCACCAAGGCATTTGACACGGTGAGCCGCAGGAGATTGTGGCTAGTATTTTGTAAATTTGATTGTCCAAGCAAATTTGTAAGCTTCGTCGAATGTCTGCACAGTGGTGTGTGGAAAATCCTCGGATGACTTTATTGTCATTTCTGGCGTGAAGCTCAGTTGTCTTAGCCTTTGCCCTGTTTAATATTTACCTTCAAACAATGATGTGCTGTTGATGCTGCTTGTGATTACGGTGTCAGTGTGGAGCACCGTATTGATGGTGAGTTGCTGAACATCCGTCGTTTCGGGGCGAGAAGCCACGTGTGTGAGACTACCTGTATGCTGTTGTTTGCACAGATGAGTTGCATCACATGACTACAGCTCACGCTACGACAGCGACCAAATTCAGGATGACGATCAATAAAAGCAAGACTATCTATCTGTTTCAGCCTTCTGCAGAAGGAATCCGTGTGCCCGCCGCAACTCCACAGTGGTGCTGAGGTTTTGGAAACCACGATATTCTGTTACCTTAGAAGCGTACTGTCTACCGACTTCCAGTTGATGAGCGAGCTGCGCATACGCGTATCGAAGACGCCACTGCATTTGGCAAACGAGAAACGAGTGTGGAACAACGATCAGTTTACCATTGGAACGAAGCTGCTTGTATACAAGTCTATGGTGTTGTCCGTTCTTCTATACGTGGACAACATACCGGAAGGATGTCAGATATATGGTGCGATTTGATCAACCGTGTCTACGACGGATTCTGCGCATCGGTTGGCGCGACAGTGTTGCAAATACGGAAGTGATCCGCCGCAGTGTATGCAGTGAACTGGGTACTTCTGCTAGGGCATCTGGGGTGGATCGGGCACGTTAGGCGCTTGGATTCGACGCGGATGCCAAGACAGTTAGATTATGGGCAACTAAGTGCAGGGAAGCGGAAGGTGCGAATACCGAAGTCACCTTACCAGGACATGACCAAAGTGAGTCTATCACGAACTAATGTTAAGTTCAAGTATTGGAAAGAGGTGGAAGTTGATCGGCGAGAGCTATCCAAGATGGCAATTATCCAGATGTAACGGAAAGCACTCTTACATGAGGAGAAACGCCAGGTGCGGAAGCAACAGCTGCTAATGGTGGATAGACCATCGACGTCAAGCGGATTTCGCTGTAGCACATGCGGTCGCGAGTTCTTGAGCTAAGAGAACTGAGAACTGGTGCGAAGCAGCGAGTAGAGGTTGCTCTGTGCAGCTGCATCATTCGTCGTTTTCGGACATGAACTCTTTATTTTTCGTTTCGCTCTTTGTACTTTGCCTCTGCAAAGTGTTTGACTAGTAGCATCTTGAATTTAGCCACTGTGTTCGCTTCTACTATATGCTGAGGCAGGTCGTTCCAGACATTCACCACTCTGCGTTCGAAACAGAGTTGATGGGCGACCCACTTCAAATCCGGGACGATAAGTTTATACCGGTGTCCTCGCGTGCAGCTTGGTGTGCGCAGATGAAGTAGTTGTCTCAACATGGGGTAATCACCCAGATGTAATATCCGGTGCGTCATGATGAGGTCAACCCTCAGCCGACGATAAGATAAGGTGTATAACCCTAGTTTCTTACATCGGTCTTCGTATGGCATACCTCGTAAGTTGGGAATCAGCCTAGTGGCTACATGCTGCACCCGCTCAAGCTTTTCTACTTCGCCCCGGGTGATGGGACAGTATGCGGGAGTGCCGTACTCTAGCATTGGTCGTATTATCGAGACGAAGAGTCGAGTGGCAATCTCTTCGGACCAAGTGCTAAAACTGCGCCTGAGAGCCCAAAGCTTAATAAAATATCAGGGTCGCCAACATTTAAGAGAAGACGAAGAAGCTAAATATGTAGTCATAATCAGCACAGTGCTTGGTAAGTACGCTACTTCCGGTTGAACTCCCCTTACTAACATAGGTTAATGATGCGGTTGATGAGGCACATGTGATACGTCATCGTTGCAGTCAGTCTGCACATGTGCCTGCGTGTTTAATTTCTTGCATTTCAAGAGTTAGTTTAGATGCTGGCTGATATCCCCGGTGTGGCTGCGATTGATGTGAATATTGACAAGGTGAATGGCATGGGAATGGTATATTCGAGTGGACAGATGCACCAACCGAGCGAGCCAGACAGCCAATGGGAAACGGGCGTGACGGATTCGATTAGGGGGCAAGGACTGGCCGATATTCGCGTTAGTTACTCACCGTTTGTGTAACTGAGTTGAAGGAGGAACCTCATTCACTCAGAAGAGTTGTCAGTTTTGGACTCGAACGTGCAACCTATACCGAGTAGTTTGGCTTGCCAAATGTACCGTAATTTTCGTCGAGTTGAGTTTGCCGAATAAACGCTTGTCCCTGAAGGAATGAGTTCTCCAACATGGTGTCAGAGAATATCATGACGAACCCCACTGACCGCACCCGGATTCTGATTGGATTTTATCAACGGCCGTTCAAACGCCTGCCCATTTGAACATGGATGAACGGAAGTTGGCGAGTAATTAGCGTTTATGGTGGAGTGAGTGGATGGATTTCTGCAACCTAGTACATTTGGACGGGCAACCGATGGCGTAACGCTTTGTCATGTTGCAACATGCAGCCGGGGATGACGCACGCCGAGTGATAGATACATTACAATACGACAAAGGCGAAGAGCTCAAGCATTTGGAGACCATCATTGAAAAGTTCAGTGGATTTTGAGGAGGCCAAACAAACGAGACCTACCAGCGCTACTTATTCTTTGCTCAAAGCAGAGACCCAAATGAATCCGTCGACGCGTAGATAACTGAGCTGATGATTTTGACCTGGTCCTGAAATTCCCGTAAATGCATGGGGGACAGTCTCATACGCGACTGGATCGTTCTAGGAATTAATGATGAGGGTACGACAAAGCGGCTTTTGCGACAACGCAAGTTATCGCTCAAGCGGTGCATATATATATATATATATATATATATATATATATATATATATATATATATATATAATCAGTCGATCAAAGTGACCCACACACATACAAGATTTAGCCACGATCCAGACAGCCATACTGTAAATTGTACGGTTTATTACAAAAGGTGCTCGAACTATTTACACTTTATTTCACACACTAGGTTAGAAATTTCAAGTGATGATAGTTCTTCAAGAGACCGATGACATACCACACACCATGAATGCATATGGTAAGACGAATATCAGTAGGTGTGTACACCGATACAAGAAAATGAGAAAGAATAAGCAATTCGAAGATCAAACACGGCACAATTCCCGAGCGCTCATCCTAGTCAAAGTGCTGTCGAGGAAAGCCTGGTCAGGGAGGGGTGACTGATCTATGATGGCTAGTTCGTCATCCGTGATCCCATACACCTTGATCACATTCTCGCGGGCTCTACTGAGATCGACCAAATCTTGGGGTGAACCGGAAATCAGATGCTCTAACTCCGACAAGTATTGTGCGAACATAGGTAACGGTGGCTCCTCGGAATCGGTCTTTGTACAAATCACAGCAGCCAACAAACGACGTGTTTCTGAACTAGCACCGAAGGTGGCCAAGGCGTGTTTTATCGAACGTGTAGGCGAAAGGCAAAAGATGACCTCGGTAGCGAAATCGTTGGTGATAAGGGAGCCGGAGGAAAGATGCAGTAGGGCTTGATTGACTGCCGCTTCGATCTTCATTGATGAAAAGTAGAACGATTGTACAATAGTAAGAAAATAAAAAAACTAAACATGCTGATAAAACGAGGAGCATTTAATGTTGCAAGCAGGTTAACGGTGATCGAAAGCATTGGCTGCTCCAAGCTGAAGATAAGTGGTGTAGTGATCACACGTTCACAAACCAGAGAATGTCTAGCGCTAGGTAGATCACCTTTGTGTGACGAAATCATACGAAATAGACAATGCCCTGTTGCTAGTGTGGCTCAGCGTGCTTGATGGTAAAAAGTGGAAGACAAGGTCATCGTATTAAGAGTGAGATAAAAACAAAGGACAATAAGTGCGAGAGTGGAAATGGTTGATTTTGAAACAGTACGTGAAAATGGACTAGGCGAAAAAATCTTAAATCATCAGATTCAAAAGCCAGCTGGGAATGTGAGCGGGCGCAGGTAAGAAAATCGCGGATTTCGCCATATCAAGTGGGATTTCTATATATTTTTTCCTCTTCCTCCTCCTCAAGGAAAGCATGTTCCACCTTAGATCTCAAAGTAGTCCTTAATGCCAGCAATTTGCATGCAACGGGCGCAAAAGTCCCTAAAAGCTATTGTTCATTGAGTGACCAATCCCAAACTAGCCCACAGCATCCCACTCTGTGTACTCATCTGTTATACTGTCGGCTGATTTGGAATTGGGCATAGAGAAAAGTATGCATTTTTAAGGATCGTTTGCACCCGTCGGATGCGATTTGATAGCGTTAAGGATAATCTTGAGAGATCTATGAAGGAATTTGATAGCGCTATGCATACAATTGACTGAGAAAAGGTGTAGACATAGGGATCCTATCCAAGAAGATGACATGCACTCGCCCGACTCAGTCCTACGCGATCACGTTCTTCACATATCATAGCGCACTAGGGTAACCGGACTGCCGACCTGCAGAAGATATGAGCCAGTCAGCATAGGCAATTCGAGCTCGAAAGACACACCAATGCACATCCGCAGTGCTTATTCTGTGATCCCACGGGAGATGAGCAATGCTTCGCAGACGTCAGTGGATGTTTCTCGGATGCACAACGTAATTCTTGATTTGCTACAGTGTTATTATATGTGATATATCTTCTGGATGGCAGGTGTCTCGCTGTCCGCATAGGTAAGCAGAGCTTCGGAAAGCTCCAAAACTTTCACTAGTGCGTTTAACAGCAGCGTTGGTGAATCGACTACCACAAGTGGAGCAATCATATGGATAAATTCCGTTCAGAGAGAGAGAGAGCATGACGTAAGTGCTCTCTACGTTAACTGTCAGTCAACCGGAGAACTTTCACTCCGAACGGGGAACTCACTCACGGATCTTTTAATTGCAGTGCTAGAAAATTAAGGCTAGATAAGAATACCGTGGCGAACGTAAGCGACAATTTCTCATAGACCTTCACATAGACGATGGAGTTGTAGTGCAGAAATAATAAATAGTTTTCTCAGATACACCCTTCAAAGCTGGGTAATTAAACTAGTAATTACCATTCGTTGAAGAAAGGACGGATTTCAAGTCGAGGAAAATTATCATGATAGATCGCTGGTAAGCATGATGAGGTACAAGAACTTAATAAACTATATGGTCGGTGGATTTCTTTTAAGATCGAAAATAGCCTAATCTTCATCGAATTGACTACCACGAGGAGCAGTGAGGAGTCGATGCTCTTCAGCCCGTTTCGAAGGTGAGAATAACAGTTGACAAAGACCGGGAATCACTTCTTCCTTGGACAACTAGACTGACCACAAGTTGATCCGCACCGTCTCTTACTAGGATCAACGAAATCTAAACATGTAGAAATGCGTCGATTGTACGATTTGACCGGTCTGCAGCCGTTGACATCGGGTTTGAGTGACTCCGAAAGCAAGTAGAAAGTCACTCAGTGTGGCGTAATGGATCATGGGGATGCTCAGGAAATCGTATCACGTTAAAGTCCAGTCTCGCCACGAGACTCAGTACAGATTCAAATGCGGAATCTGGTAATTATCTCCCCCTAACCATGATCGTTTGATTATAATGCATGGCTGGTGTGAAAGGTGGTAAAAAAGTTTGCGCCAAATACAAAACTGTGTGTTCATATTGTGACTTAATTATTTGGATGTCAGGATGAAGTATTAATTATTGTTCAATGATGTCGACATAACTTGGCTGAAATCTACGACAGATGCAGAAAAGGATGAACGTTTCAAAACCACCGGAGTTGAAACCTAACGAGGTTTGTGGTGTGTCTATATCAGGCAAGAGTGGCTTACGTGTCGTGGTGCAAAGATGTTGGCAGCATCAAGGAACACACACACCGCATCCGTGTGAGATGGTAACAGTCGATTGACAATTCGCTTGTGGATCAACTGCGCATTTGTCACATTGTCCCAATAACCAATGAACAAGCCCAGGGATGGGAATAGACTAAGACTGTAGCGATGCCACACCGTGGTCATTATGGAAAGGACGGATGCTGAAAAACATGGTGCAATGGATTAGGAAAAAACTAACAAGGGGGCACTGAGATGAGTTTAGTTTAGAAGCAACAATGCGGGCAACGATGCAAGGTGCATTAAATTTGCTTGACTCCTGCCACCGAAGCAATAACGATACTAATAATGGTAGCAAGGAAAAAAATCGAGATGGTGCAGGTGGGGGCTAGAAATATCACAATGATTAGAAGAGCGCCAATAACTTTGTGATTATGCCATATCTGATGAGCATCAAACGGCAAAGTTTCATCCAAGGTGACAAACAACAACTCAACTGGACCTATCAGAGGGTTTCCTCACGCGCTTTTATCCTGTCCCCAAGTGAGCACCTAAAAGTCACACCCAAGAAAGTGCGGTATTATGAAAAACACGTCGATACAGCGGGCTCGCTGGTATGTGGATCATGTAACCGAGCCGAAGAAGGGGGTTCAGGTGCAATACGCACTCCAGCGAGGCACCGGAGGACCTCCTGATGGCCAGGTGACGAATTGTAGCGTTACTAATTCGGTTCTTCCACCAAACATGAGGAAAATTGGATAGAAATCGGTGGTTGAACACAGACAGAGTCTCCTAATGTATTCAGCACGCAGCAGATCCCCACGCTAATGCTGGATGCATTACAGCATTATAGAACCTTGCTGTGATGGGAGAAAGCAATTTAGGTGGCGAAGCAGGTAACCAGATTACCGCAAACGAATGGAGCAGATGACTGGACGCCACGCATCTCCGCATCTACGGTGACTGGTTGATATTTGGCCGCGTTGGAGCGGGTTTGTTTGGCCGAAGCAAAGGAAGAAGCTCAGGAATGTAAAGACGTTAGTTATAGAGACGGGTTGTTCATGCTCTCATTTGCGCTGAGATTGCTCTGTTGAACAAACCTGTTGTCCCCGAAGGACCGAGTTCTGCAACACCTCCATTGGCCAATAGGATTGTATTCCGTCGTCTCCACAAATGACGGAGGCAATGAAATGTCATACGGATCTTGGAGATGAGTGCAGTCATTTTCTAGGTGATGTAACCAGAAGTGGAGATAAAGCCACAAAAATGAGTAAGACAATAGACCATTTTGAACGATTCTTCCGCCATCATGGAAATTAGTAGCGTGTCCTGTGGTAGTGCCATGCAATCCAAAGGTGCAGAACATATGGAAGGGCAGCGCTACGCGCCAGACTATCCGGTAAGGTTCGTGCGACAGATACATCCCAGTTAAACAGGGTTATATCATCGTACATTAAGGTTGGCAGCTAATAATCTGACAGAAACTTAATACCGGAGATAGGGGAGAGGACAGAGACGTTCAGGATCATTTCGATTATGAAGCACCCTCTCGTCATGGGGAACACAAGGGAAAACTGTTCGTAGATTTCCACACATCTATGGGAGCTCATAATAGCGAAAAACCCCAAGAATTGGTCATCAGCATAATCGGAACAGTTAACCGAAGCAAAAGTAACCACACCAAGTGGGATTACAATGACAGGCCAATTGCAAGTATGGAGTACTGGATGAAGAAGAGGAATGTAAACAATACACCGTCTACCGAGCGGAAGCCAGCCTGGTGTTTGCCGATTAGTCTCACGCGAGCACCAATGAGCCGCCATGGCATAACGCAGATGAGTTGGTTGGGAGACAAGTGAGACCAGATTGATTTCACGATGAATGCACAAAAGGATGATTAACCCTCTTAAAAGATAGGAATAACAACCGCCATTGAAAAGTAGTTCCTCCATACGTCGCAGTGCCGAAGGGAACATCAAGGGTAGCCAGCGTCCTTCGGCAACGATGGTGGATGATCGCCTGGACCATGCGCCTTGTTCCGCCTCGAGAGTGTCAGCTCGTGCAGTACTTTATCGATGGCGCCGGATGTTACGCCAGCATCCTGATGACATGGTTTGATATTTGCAGTGGAGGACGAATTACTTAAGAAAATGGATAGTCAAGTCCTCTAGACAACGCGATTGATTGAATCAGTTCGTCTAGGCTTTCAGCCACAGCTTTACTGACGAGATCACTGCAGTGAGTGAGCTGAAACAGCACCTTGGTATGCCAATGGGGCTGCCACTGGACCACTTCGACAAAGATTTTGATGGGACGGTCTTTTGTGCATTATCCAGGTTAATAGAATTTCCAGGGACAAATCACTGCTAGGGTGCCACAAGATGGGTGGACAAGCGATTTCGAGCGTATTCTGCATTGCCCATGGCGTACTTCATTCGGCAGTGGTAAATGATGTATTTCAAAGTTATGATAGCGCTTTTAAGGTTGTGAATGCAGTTGATCAGTAAGCACCTTCGAAGGTGGGCAAACAGCAGAAAAAAGAATACTACTGAACAGCTGACGAAAGCGGTCACCATGTAAGCAGGACAATCGTCGATCCCGAAAACTGCTTCCGAGCTCAAGTCCTGATCCCGATATGTGATAGAATAAAGCATTCACATCACCGGCAACGATTATGAAGACCATGCATGTAAGGGAGAAGAGCTGTGCATAGAGCATGAATTTGATCCTTGCTGGGCTATAATCAGTGGCAAGGCAAACGAGAAGTACAAAACTGGAAGAAGCCTCCGCTCCATGTTTTCTGACTTCTATGTGGCATCGAATTCAATGCGGTTGTCCACAGGGATCCGCTCCAGATGAGCAGCCTCAGTACGCCTACCGAGAGCAGTTACAATATCGTGAAAACGCCAGCATTGCGAAACGAATCGTCAGACGCAAAAAGTAAGGACCCAGTATTGGGGACGTCGGTAATGTATGCGCACAAGAAATGGGACGCATCAGAGCTGTATACGAATATCGAAGAACAAAGTCATGACACAAGTGTAGCAGTGAGAAATTATAATGGGAAACCCATCTCGTCGAAGCCCAACCAAGAAAGAATGCATAAAATAAAAACGGTAGAATAAGCCGCCAGAAGGGAGAAAGTAGAAAAGCAAAAAAAATCTGGTTAAAAGAAAACCAAAAAAGGAAGAAAAGTTGCCAAAAGCAACAAGAGACAAAACCAAGCAAAACAAAGAAAAGACAAAAAGAGAAAACCCAACAGCAAACAAAGTACCAGATAAAACAAGAAAAACAAAGAGAAGAAAAGAACAAAGCAAAAACAAAAACATTATATGGACAGGCATCCAAGGGCATAATAAAAAACAAGAGATAAAGGATAACCAACGTGCATTCAATAATAACGAAAACACTGAAAATGCCGGCGACGTACACGGATCCTGCGTCCTGACATGACCAATTTACAAACAAACTAAAACCGACCGCGAACAAAACAGATCAGCCGCTTCCAAAACATCACGCATCTGAATTGTCACATTTGATGCATCACACACACATACAACCGAAACAGCATCGCCCAATTCCAATATCACAAACAAAATCACATGACAATTGCATCGTCCACACCCAGACAACACACCTCACAAATGGACCACTGTCACTCAACAAACACAGCACATAACCCTATTCAAAATCACAACAACAACAACAACAACAAAGTCCTGCTTACATCCACAACCATACAACACCGACACATTCCTGTGTAGATTGCATCCACAGTCAACCAGTCAGCCGTTGCAAAGTATCTCATCCACACCATAACCAACAAACACTAACAGATACCAGCATCATATCCACAACAAATGCGCGCATTCTGCACCTGCATGACGACTAAAATAGCCACAGGTTTGTAGAATGACAATGGCCAACAACACGCCCTTCCATGTTGTTCGCAAACGAAGTTCCGGACACGCATCGAGAGCATCTGTGCACGGACGCGGTGCCGATCCACGCACAAAACCAGCAGCTGAAACCAACAACACGCACACACACACACCCTCTACGAACAGACCATTAACAAAAACAGAATTTGACGAGAGGGAAAACAACAACGCAACATCCAGCTGGAAAGGCAATCTACCAAACATGTCAACAACTATAGCACAAGCACATCAACCAACCGACGATGATGATGATGAACCATTCGCTATTCACACAAAAGGAGGTAACTGGCAACACGTGACAATCCTATACGCGTCACGCACGCACATGTGCCAAATCCTGACGCGCAGACAAATTCGATGTCGCACCAGACAGTTTAAGTGGATCACATAAGCAAGTGGAACCACTCTCCGGACTGTGCCACACCCCACAACTCCAACAACACGCAACGCCATACAACTTGACATACGCAAAAGTGCACAACCAACCACATCCATACATGCGCAATCACAAACCATGCAACAATTCACCAAAACCAACCAACCAACCCGCACACACACACACACACAAAAGCAACATCAGCCACCTCATGCCATGGGTAAACAAAAGTCAATTAACCAAACACACCTCCTCAAGTGTGATTCAATCACTGCTCCTAATTCAACACCTGCGGAAACCACCAACATCCGCAACAAAACACAACGCAACGCTACCCTTCGGCACACACACACACACACACAATAGAAACGCGACAAATTCATTCCCACATACAACACCCACCAAATCATGCACAAAAACATCGCTGCGCTCACACAATGCCTCACTGACTACAAACAACCGAACCAACAGACTCATCGGTGCACTATTTGACCGTCATACATAAACACGCCACGTGCGCAAAGTGTTGGCACAACACGGTGGACTGGCACATTTCAGTGACGCCAGCAAGAGGGATGAGCCAAACCTTCGTTTAGCAGGAGACAAATACCACCGAACCACGTCACCAAGGCTCGCGGAGAGTGCACCTGCAACAACATCCACAACAACGCAAAACAATCTTGTCGCACACGTTACCAGACACATGGAAATACCATGCGGCCTTCTCCATGTGACCAAATATCTAGTCCATGTGCAAAACCGAGAGAACACATCCGAACTCACGGTGATCAATCTGGACAAACGCACACACCACACATAACACTAAGCACCAAATCAAACGCATCAAGCACATCCACACACACTCAACC